TGTGGGACATAGTACTTGAAGCCGACATTATACGTGTATTATATTTGGTTTTATAAAGCAAAATATCTTCTTATAATTATCTTTTCTCTGCATAATTTTGTGTTATTTTCTGAAATTTTAGTGGAACAGAATAAAATATTTATAAACGTTATTAGTAGGTTTACTTGTGTAAGTCTTTTTTAGAAGTCACTTTTAACCTATTTCTAATTATGTTATCTATTTAAAATATGAAATAATAATAATATGAAATCCGTCCGAGGGTGAGTTGCTAGTTTAAAATAAGTTTAACTGCCATTATATACAAAGCTATTTTTTTAAATGAACAATGTGATAATGTTAACACAGTGAAAATTCTAAAAGAACTTCTGACTCTAAATATGTATTAAAATAGCTTTAGGGACTCCGCAAAACTTTGTAGTAGGCTTTCTTGAGTATCAAACCAGACCTATATATAGACTTACATATATAATTATACAAGAGCCATGAGACCTATAAATGAGTCCATTTACTGAACTTTACATAAACTTATAAAAAATCTAAAATACTGTTAAGTAGTTTTTAATGTAACAAACGTCTAAAAGTTTTGTCTTTTGCATTTTACGCTCTTTTAAGTTTCTATTCAATATCACGCTTCGCGGTAACAGCTGTATGAGAGCAAAGTGGTAAGCGCGAGAGGAAATTTAATGTGCGAAATATAATTTTACCCGACTTGAAAATAAGGAAGCATTCAATTCGTGACACAATCGTTTCCCAAATTGTGGTACATTTTCATAATTCTTTATATATCTCAGTTTTATACTTTGTTTACACTTTAACGGTGATCCCATATAATTTTAATATAAATGCACCTCAGAAATTTTCACACATGCACACACAAACGAACATATGCGCACGCGCACTCACACACACACGCATGCAAACATGCACCCACACGTGCACACGCTCACACGTACACACACATACGCATAACAACACGTACGCACACACGCACATACACATATATGAACTTTTGCATTACTATTATAGTAATCCGATTTATTTATTTCTCTTCGGAACCCTAAAACATGTTAGACATACGAAATGAGGCGTGGCGGCACTTTAACAGCCCATTTGTTTTTCATACCAGCGGCCGGCATTATCTCAGTGGTGCAGGCATAACCTATTTTGTTCTTTAGTTTACTCTTAACTTGCTTAAGTTTTTATTTTTCTGTTGTTTAAAAGCCGTTATCTTGCTATAATATTATGCATCTATCCTTCCTTATATTTACGTTACTGCATTAATATGCAGTAACGTATCTAATGACACAGCTTTTTTCAGTTAAATGTTCTTATAGATCTTTCTTATTTCTGGTACTGATACTGGAGCAACTCCAGATAAGGAGTAGACTTTCTGCCACCTGTTACTAACGCATTCCAGGATAGTTTAGTGTCATTGTCCATCGCCAACCGGATAGCATAGAAAATAATATTACTGGGCAAGTTGGAACGGAAAAGACCACGCGGTCAAACACTCTGCTGCTTCCAATTGTGACCAAATAACTGCTCTTATTTCTTCTTTATTTTTTAAAGTACTTACCTGCTTTTCTATACCTATGTATGTACTCGTACATATACAAATAAATTCTATTCTATACTAACCGTTAAAACGTACCTAGGGACGAACCCGTACAAAGCGAGGGCAAGTCGCTAGTATTTATATAGGTATATTCAAGTATATTTCTAGTTTCAATTTATGTACATTTCCTTGTAATCAAACCATTTAAATTCTATTTCTTTTACGTCTAGCATAAGGCATTATTGACGAATTATCCCACATAAAAACTAAATGTACCGTAATAAAAACCAGCCAATTTTCATTAGAAATAGTATATATCTTTCTTTTTGTAAAAGAAATTTCAGAAATTTTATCCAGAATCAAAAGTATTATCGAAAATTACCTCTTTCATCTAAGCTCACAAATTCTTTAATATTATTGTAGATACGTACATACGTATATATGTATTTAAACATATCCGTTGATTTATGAAGCGTAATTAGCAACATCCCGACTGACAGTCGATTTCCTTTTACATGTCGTTACGGAAAGCAACTTCCGCTATTTAAAAGCTTTAGATTGAGGAAATTTTCTTAAGAAAGCTCGATAAATAATGTTTTTCTTTAATATGTGATGGTACAGGTCAATTACTGTGTATATACATATATCGTAGCTATATATATAGTATAGCTTTATATAGTATCCTAGCATTGCCCGCGGCTCCGCCCGCCTTCAAACTTCTCATCGATGCCAAACTTCACAGGATCATCCGCTGGGCTAATCTGAAGATTGCCTGAAAATTTCATCAAAATCGCCCCAGCCGTTTTGGAATCTATAGGGAACGTCGATTTTTATCTATACATAGTTATGATAAAATTCTAACTGAGTCAAATCTGTACATTAAATGTTTTTTGTAAAATATTATTGAAATAGTCATTATAATATATATTATCGATACAGAGGCCGAATCTAAAGTTTTTAATTTTTTTTTTGTCTGTCTGGGAACGCATCTCGAGAAACCCGAGGACAGATGTTGATGAAATTTGGTATGGTAATAGCTGGTTATCCGGGTCCACATTTAGGGTACTTTTTACTGCGGAAAAATATCTCCTCTCTAATAAATCTATACTAACCGTTATAACTTACATATACAGATTTATAAGTGTTTTGATTATGATATTATATAAGTCAATTTAAAAAACTGATAAATCATATTATTGTTAAAAAAAAAAATGATTTATTAAATAAACTATATATCATTAAAAATATTTATCGCCAATTTTCTTGTACCGTGTAACACGATACGACGTAAGCCGAACTTATTGAAAGTAAATTCCTACAGTATATTACATTCCAATGTCGCGTCGTCCGTGACCCCGACAAAAACGATGCATATAGCAAGAGATTTTATTAAGCGCGATTAGATTTTATTATAAAACCTTTGTGACGAATCGAACTAATATGTGTGCATTCTTATAAAGTCTCGACTTCAAAAAAGAAATTACTTGATTTTCACTATTTGTTTCTTTTTGGAGTTCCGTACCCGAAAGGTGCCTACGGAACCCTATTTACTAAGCCTCTGCTGTCTGTCCGCCCGTTCGTCTGACAGTACGCTGTATCTCAAGAACCGTAATAGTTAGTGAGGTGAAATTTTCATAGAGTATGTATAACATGCGACATGCTGTTATAACAACAAATAATATAATTAAATAAAAATATAAGAAACATTATTTTAACGTTCGTAATCGATCATCGGAGTTAATATACCTACTACATATATAAAGTAAAAGTCATATTAGTAAAAAGTACATGTACGACGGAACACGGTAATATTACATACAGTATTCCATCTTCATACAAACGGTCGGAAATCGAGTTATACCTACGCGCGTCGCGTTCGGTATACACTCGGTAGACAACCGTGTGGGGCTGCCAGATCGTATAATTGGATACGAAAATTGTACAAGGTGATTATGTTATGTAACTTTTATAATTTGATACAAAAAAAACATTTTATTCCTTCCGTAACTTCGCTAATGTCAAACAAAAAAGTATCGAGACATCGAATGTTTTAAAAATAAAAATTAATTAATGAAATTAAAAATAAAAATTAAAGTATTTTTAATTAAATTTTTTATCCGAATGCGGATTCTTTATACTATTAAATTTAACAATGAAGCTTTGCGTACGTCTCAGTCGAGGCGCAAATATTTTTAAATCTCAAATTTATTGCAGCCGTTGCCGCTCGGCTGTAGGTAATTATTTCGAGGACAGGCCCGAGTTGCAATACTGTATGCATTACATTACCGTGGTACGGAACCCTACGTGTGCGAGTTCGACTCGTACTTAACCGATTTTTTTAGTCATATAAATTTCAAGATAGTTTCCTCCATTAAGAGTAAAATAATTAGTTTTAATGTGATTTTCGGTGTTTCACTTAAAAACCAATTATTTTCAGACATTTGTATCGTTCTCTTTTGTGTGTATAATAATTCGGTATTTTTCCTTTAGCTATTTTGAGAAGGAAAATTGTATGAAAATATATGCTATGTTTTCCACTGACCGGAAACGGCTTTATACATTTTTGTTTTTTTGATGAATCTTTAAACTTTACTACACTAAAAAATCTATACTACTACTAATATTATCAATGCGAAGAGATTGTGAGGATGTATGAATGTCTGGATGTATCTATCTATACATCTATAGATGTTTGTTACTCTTTCACGCAAAAACTACTAAATGTATTTGAATGAAACTTTAACTTTATAATATAGCTCATACATCTCCTGATGTTTTCAAAAGGTTTCCGTTACCTTCATCTACCACACTACGTAATACCACTACATGAAACAAAATTAATAAAAAATACTGATTTCTAAAAACGATAAAAAGACCTTTCAATTTTATGCAATTTATAAAAGGGAGTGGTCTCAATTTAACTTAACTACGTAAATTATAAAAAAATAATGTAAACCGTAAGTTCTTAAATGTATAATTTCAAAATACAAAACAAAATATATCATAAAGAGATATAAAAACGTTTATTTTTGCTTTTGCACCATCTCAAAGAAATTTTCGATTCTCATCAAAAAATATAAAAAAATAACATACAAATGAAAATTTAAGTAAGGGGTCATCCATTAATTACGTGAGCTCAAAATGAGAGAGGGAGGTCCAGTAAAATCTCATCAAATCTCATTTTAACTGAGAGGTGTATATTGTATAATTGAAGATCTCACGTCATCTAAAAGAATATACAAATTATTAGAGAGATAATTAAAAAAAACTTTTACTTCTTTTAAAAGCAACATTAAACGTTGAAGTGTCCCATTTTGACCCAAAAATCTCATAGCAATTATTATTGCAAAGATTTATTTCGAAACTACTTGAACGCTGTATTATTAAATTAAGAGAAACAGCTTACGTCATTAACAGATATACCCTTAGTTAAGAAATTTATTTAAATATCTTCTTCTTCAATGTATGCATCGATCCAAGTCCGAAATTCTTCAACATCAGTAAAAACCACATATTGGTTTGCAGCACAAACAGGAGAATCGAATTTTGAAACGGTTAAAGACACAATGCCTTTTACGTAATAGGCACCTGTTGTGTTCGTCTTCTGACCACTTTCATTTAAATCTGGTAAGAGTACTAAGAAGGCACTTCCACTATCTCCGTTACACGCTGATGTTTCTGGAACGATTTTATTAAATTTGTAGCAGTGATAAAGAAACCAGGTTTCATACTTAAATTGTCGCTTCTATTTAATTATCTCATATAATGAGACCTTTTATTAAATACTTATATCAAATAATATCATAAAAATTTAAATAAATCCGCGAAAAAGGATTTATTTTGATTTTTGTTTCCCGACGTTTCGAATGCTTTACAGCAATCACAGGAGAGACTAAGATTTAAGACGTTTCAAAGTTCATTATATTATTATTATAGAAAAGAAAAAATCCGTACAGATAGTTTTATTTAAAATGTCAAATATTCGCCTAAATCTATAAAAGTATTCCCTATTTATATTAAATACCTAATATATACCTTGCACCTACATCAATTTAAAGAAATGCAATAATATTTCATTTGTTTTAGTTTCATCTCCAACTCACGAATTATTTTTTACCCTATAAGGTCATAAATAGGACACATTAGTCTATACATATGATAAAATTCCAACCGAGTCGAATCTGTACATTAAAAATATTTTGGAAAAAGTAATTGAAATAGCCATTATTCGATAATATGACTATTTAAATTAGGTATGCTAATAGCTGGCTATTCGGGTCAACATATAGGATACTTTTTACTGCGGGAAAATATCTTATTTCTGAGAAATCTATACTAAACTTTAAAATGTATCCAGGGACGACCCCGAGCGGAGCGAGGGTGAGTCACTAGTATTTAATATATATGACAGAATTTAAACTTTTTCCACAGACGGTAAAAGATACATGAGTGATCCTATGAGAAAATCATTTTAGCCACAGTGTGGAATCCCAAAATTTATCATTCGGTCTCAATGTTCTACAGTTCTAGTTTTCCGCCTTGCTCCCCACAGAATTCCAATTGTATGCGTCGACGCACAAGTGCATTTTCAAGCAATAGCCATGTCTAACTTAAGCAAAGGAAAATCATGTCCAATATCTCATGTCCTTAATTTAAACTATTTTCTAAATGAGCAATGTCATTGTCCTATTAACTAAAGATAAACAATATAGTCGTGATTGTTTTTATCCAAACTAAATATTACAAATGTGATGGTAACTCTGTCTGTCTGTTACGTTTTTAGGCGTAAACTACTGAACCTATTTTGATAAATTTCGGTCTATCTCTATTAATAGTACCTTGGAGAAGGGCAAAGCTACTTTTAGTCGCTAAAATAAAACTTGAAGTGGGAGAAATAGTGGTTGAAATTTTGTATCGGAAATCAACTACCTAAAGTATATATGTGTATATAAGTACACTCAATTTATTTGTATTTTTAACGTACCCTACGAACGCACCTAGTAAGTCGCTAGTTCAATATAATACTAGTTTCTACACGCAACGTTACCCGCATGAAGAGCGTTATCTATACCTAAGTTCAGAACTATTGTAATCTATATCTTTAAACGAGCAATTCTTGTATATATATAAATATATAATCTGAATCTCAGAAACGGCGTCAACGATTTTCATGAAATTTTCTACACAGGTGGGGCGGTAAATCATCTAGATTAGTCTTATGCCTGAGAAAACACGTGTTTTCGAGTTATCATGCAGTTTTCTTTTGCATTATTACACGCAAAATATGGTCGATAATTTGCACGCTCGGCTATAAGCATCATGGTCAAGCGGCCAAGGTGCAAGATCAACAATCATAGGTGTCTGGGTTCGAATCCCGGTCGGATAGAAAGGTATAATTTATTTTTGTTTTTTTGTTTTGTATCCATTGAAGTTTTTGGTTTTTTTTTTAAAGAAACTTGTACTTATGACCAAAAACTCCGGTCGCCCAGGTACTATTAAAATTAAAGCTCAAAAACACATTACTGGGATATAATAAACTTGTAAATTAGTTCAAACCCAAGTTGTCATACTTTCTTTGATAGTCAACATGTGATGTGTTACTAGCCTCAAAGTGTCTTTAGAATCTTTTATAATACTAGCGACTCACCTTCGCTCGGGTTCGTCCCTAGGGTATGTGTACAACTTCTATTTGAATCAGATATTATTAAATTTTTCATTGTTTTTTTTTTCGTGGGACACTAAAAGTAGCCTAAGTTACTCCTTATTACATCAGCTATCTGTCAGTGAAAGTCCCGTCAAAATCGGTCTAGCCATTTAAGAGATTAGCCGGAACAAACAGACAGACAGACAGACAAAATTGTAACAAATGATGTTCTCCTAGCCGATTCCGGCCACGGCGGCCAATCTCATTGAGACTAGCCAACTGCGCAGGAGATATTATAGTGCACAAGTGTACGCGCAGAAACAACGTGCACTCTCTATTCCTGTTACTCTCATACTCCGGTGGGACGACTGCTCGACACGACCAGTGAGAGTTAAGGTGCAGGACCGACAGCTTTACGTGCTCTCCGAGGCACGGGGGTGAAACACCGCCAACTTCCCAACTCCGGGCTGTTACTGAGATTTACTATACAGAAAGACTCAATAACTAAATTGGCCCGACCCGGGACTCGAACCCAGGACCTCCGAGTGTGCAGCCGTACATGCTAGCCACTACACCACCGAGGCAGTTGTAACAAATATTGTAGTTGTAACAAATATTGTTTTGGTATACATGCCGTGTATGCATCCATATGCATTTAGTAAAAAGCTGTTATTTTGACATTACAAACAGACACTTCAATTTTATTTATCTGTTATCTACATAGATTAATAAGATAAAAGGAAAACTTACTATTAGGATATCCAGCACAAAATTTGCCGATATCATACATAATTACTGTTCCGTAAAAATCGGGATTGCTAAAAAGGCATGTAGTTAACGGCACTATGGGTATTTCAGTTTTTCGTACCTGATGTGAAGATTGCGCCTTTAGGTTATAACCCCATCTTAAAACCTATAAACATAGGGATTTTTATCAAAATAAAAATAGCAAAATGTGTTCGTTTAACAATCTTTCACGTATCAGTTGAACGACGTTACTTGAGATTAGCGTTATTTTTTAGACTAATATTATAAAGAGGAAAGATTTTTTGTTTGTTTGTTTGTACCGAATAGGCTCCAAAACGACTGAACCGATTTAAATGAAATTTTGTAAGAAGATAGTTTGTGATCCTGGGAAGGATATAGAAAAGTTTTTATCCCGGAAATCATTCTTTAAGGGGGGGAAAATGGGGACGAAAATTTGTATGGAGAAGCAAGCAAGCTTTATATAGTATTATATGATCTGTGTCGTCAGGAAGTTTTGTATAGAAGAAAATTAAAGGATTTTTTTTTTACTTAAAAGTATTTTTTAAATCTCTTGATATAAAAAGTACTCACTTTGAGTGATGTAATTTTTATCCCGGAAATCATCCCTTAAGGGGGTGAGAATGTGGATGAAAGTTTGTATGGGGAAGCAAGCTAGGGATGAACCCGAGCGAAGCGAGGGTGAGTCGCTAGTATTATCAACAAAAAGATATATAAATAGAGGGGTAAATTCTATTCACGTATGTATTCCTCAAATTTTCATTAATAATTATGGTCTAGTTTCGACCACTAGACGAAAACATTTGAGTCACTTACCGTTCCTGTAATTAAATTCGATGGTAACTTTTTATTTGCGTTGCTATACCACAAACAAGCTGGCTGTATATAAGAATTGTACAACACCTCGCCTTTCAATTTTAGTAAAGCTATATCATTATATAAGTCTTGACGAATGAACTTTTGATGAACAATAACTTTACCTACCTGAAAATATAAAATTTATTTGTTTATACACTTTAATGTACACCAGAGTAATAATATAAATACAGGAAAACAAAAAAATATATTAAAAAAATACAGTTAAAAATGTTCACAAAAGGCTAATAATTAGCAATTGCTTCAAGACAACAATACATACAATACAATACATTCCATAATATAGCCTAGTACTTCCAAATTTACACATATATCTATACGAGTATATATAAAAATCGATGTGTGTACATATGTTTCCTTTGGTCTCTAAAACGGCTGGAGCGATTTCGATGAAACTTTAAAGTAAACATTAGATTAGCCCAGCGGGTGATCTTGTAAAGTTTGGTGGGGATCGAAAATTTGAACGAGGGCAAACCCGCGAGTACTGCTAGTATAATATATATCTCTAAATTATACTAATACATATTTAAATAGTCAATATATTGTTCATATAAGATGGCGTTCGTATAAGAATTACATGACTTATCTCTAGAAAAAATTTCCTTTTGAATCCATGAACATAAAATATGGTGGGACCAAAATTATATTTGGTATAAATTATTGAAATAATGGAGTCAAAGCAATTAAAAGTTTGTGGTTTAAACAAATGGATATGTTATACTATACCTGGTGGCAAAGACTATTTTGTAAAATGGAATCATTATATAAATAAATCTATCTTTTTTGATTATTTAAAGGATTTATTTTGATTTTTGGGTCCCGACGTTTCAAATTGCCGTACAGTACTCATGGTCACAGGGGAGACTAAGGTTTTAGGCGACTCAAAGGTCTCTTCAATCTGTAAAGCATTCGAAACGTAGGGAACCAAAAATAAAAAAAAAGTTCGTAAAATATTCCGAAAATATAGTTTTATTTAAAATGTCAAGTATTCGCGTAAATCTAAGAAAGTATTAAAATTATAGTAAATCATTATAATTTCTAAAGTCATTTGAAATTTTAAGAGTAAAATAATGAAGTTTTTGCAATGTAAGTAATTAAACAGTAAAATGACAATTAAGTAGTATAAATGATATGAATGTGATATAAATTGTAAACGAGTTTCTATTCAGAGAACGCTTCCACTTTTCACTGTTAAAAATTAAAATTAATATAACATCAATGAAATAATTTATCGTTTTCTAAATAGAACTGGGTTTTTACCTGATTTTATCGGGTTTTTTTTCCTACCGACGCTTATATTAAAATATTCACAGCAAACATGGGCATGCGAGAAACTAAGGTTTTTAGCGTTTAAAAAGTCATAATTACCTAAAATCTACCCACAATAAATGATTTAATTTAAAATGTAAAATATTCGCCTAAATCTAAAAAAAATATTACCGCTTTCTCTACGGTTTTCTTATTTTTCTTTTTCAAATCAAATTGTCCTAGAACAACCGTCAACAATTCGGGCAGTAGTGGTACCTCTCCAGAAGAGACACAATGCGCAGCTGTGAATAAACAGAATTTCAAATAAGCCAAATATATTAGTAGTTGGGATTGAGTTTGTGTAGTGGTTTGTGGAAACTGGAATTTTCATCTCCCTGTTAAATCTCGAATATCTGGAAATAGGCTGTACTGATTTCAATAGAAATTATTTATTTATTTATATAATAATTGAAGTTGAAATGTAAATATTTATCTTCTCTTATTTGTTGCTGGAAAAGTGAAAATAATAACATCATTTTTGGTCCAAAAATTGATTTTTAATATGAAAAAGAAGAACTTAACGATTATACTGTATTTTTATGTTATTCTACAATATATAGTACTACAGTACTATATATATATATATATATATATATATATATATATAATAACAATTTGAAAATTTAGCCAGAACAACTGTTACCAGTTAATTATTTCGGATAACTCAATCACAACGTTCATTTTTCATCACTACATAGTATAAAACAAAGTGGCTTCCCGCTGTCTGTCTGTCCCTATGTATGCTTAGATCTTTAAAACTACGCAACGGATTTTGATGCGGTTTTTTAGTAGATATAGTAATTCAAGAGGAAGTTTTATATTAAGTATAATACATGCATATTATAGTACATTATAACCGATAAATTCAAAAATTTCTATTTCATACTAACCGTTAAAACGTACCTAGGGACGAACCCTACCGAAGCGAGGGTGATTCGCTAGTTGTTATATAAAAAAAAAATCAACACATTCGCACTTATAATATTAGTAGGGATCCTCGCTACTTAATTCTAAAGCTGTACATAATACTTATGTAACTTCTCAATTTGTTTTGTTTAATCTTATCTAAGTACATGAGTAAAGTCACAAGGGACTTATCTAAGGAAATGGACCTTAAATCTGTATGTAAAGAGATAGTATAGGGATAGTCTACATTGAATGTTTAATTTATATGCTTTCGAAGGAGTGGAAACCAAAACAACAATTCTTTTTTTTTTTTTGGCCGCTTTTTATTAAGTATATTTAAGGATACCCCAGGTGCGTCTCTAAGTTGTCGTGGTGGGGGGGCTCAATAGTGCCCGGCAACCCAACCGGGCGCGAGGCCAAGAAACGCACAGGGAGGTGGCCCACTTCGGTGGGCGGTGGGAGGTGGCCCTCTTCGGTGGGCGGTGTACCATGTGGGTTGCTCCTGGTACTTCTCTGATAGCAGAGTGGACTTTGGAGCAACCCCATGGTTGTGGTGGTCTGCTTCGGCAGACCTGCCGTCGGGGCGTCGTAGTTGAATGCGTAAGCGATCCTGCGACGCCCCATTAAGACGGAGGAAGGTTTTGTTGGGTTTTAGTGGGTAGTACTGGCTTTATTACGCCGGTGAGTCCCGCACCTCGTGCGTAAATGCATTTCCCAACGAATAAAAGAAAAAAAAAGGTGCGTCTCTAAGTGCCTCTTAAAAACATCGTCTCATCGTGTCCATTGTCCAACTATAGTTAAAAACTGTATAAGTAAGTACCCAAAAAGTCATCAAAACCGGTCAAGTTAGGATGAGAACAATAATTACGAATACAAGCCCACTGGATATTTATATATAAAGATAATACCTGTTAATATAAATCTATTTGAAATAAGTGTTCCACTGCAAATATAATTTTTATTTGTTTCGTCACTTCGATATATAGCTGAGTGCCAAGGCCAATCTCCTTTCCTAGTTCTGGAGGATTTTCCTTTTGTTGTATTGCTATGTATTACTTTTGGTCTCCCACAGTTAAGCTGAGGTCCACGATTCCAGTTGTCCCGTATCAAACTATCTAAGTAGCCCTGCAATAGTTAAAAAAATCACTTTTTATCAGGGGGACGTTCAATACGAGAGGGATCAGGTCATAGTCCACCACACTGGCCAAGTATGGGTTGCGGACTTCACATATATTTCGAAATCTTTCTAGGTTCTTGTTGAATATGATTCGCACATGAATGCGTGACCTGGGATTTGAACCCGCTTCACTTGGTTTCCCTAGGTAGCGCGTTACCACTGGGCTACCGCTGCATTTTTAAAATTTATATTACGAATTCAAAAAACACTTACAGTAGTTGGTTTCTGGCATAAATTTTCCTCGCCAATAAGTAGGGTGGTAATATATGGCATCACACCTGGTACAACTCCTTTAACTGTAAGCCCCAAACGTTGAAATTCTCGGAAAGCATTCATTATTATTGAGTTTCCATCTTTGATGAAATATCTCACAAATTTACCCAGTTCCTTTAAAACAAAGCACATTAGTTATTATGAAATATAGAACATAATTGATAAAAACTTAAAAAAAACGACTTCCAGGCACTAAAATATAAAAAATAACTAAACGGGGGTTTTCATTAAGAATCAGATATTTTCGAAGTCGGTGCAAGGCGACAATATTTTAAGATATGAATATCTAATAGATAAATATAATTAGGTATGAACAGTTCAATAAATTTTCTAAAAAATATTTAATGTACAAATTAAACTTAGAATTTTATTATGTTTAAATTGTAGATCATCTTATCTTTCTTGGTTAAGGGTAATTCCACTTATTTATTTTTTGTAAGTTTTGTTTAATCTCCCAAAAGTTAACAAGAAAATATCGATACAAATTATGTAATAGTGAAAGTTACTCTGTATGTCTGTTTGTTATATTTGTGTGCTTAAATCACTAAGCAGATTTCGATGAAATTGGGCAATATAGAATTGATGTATATTTCATCACAGGGCTGTACCTTTCATGTACTACTACATCTACATGTCTGTAACAGACTACGTTTTCCATGCCTCGCTTACCTAGTAAACGGAGCCGGGCATAAACTAGTATGAAATGAAACACTAATCGCGTACAAGGATCGATCCCATGGACTTTTGGATAATAGGTACGTAATGGCAGTCAATATGCCCCCACTGGTTCAATTTAGTTGTAGGATTAACCGGGATTTGGTATGTTAATATGAACTATTAACAGAAGCTTAGTCCCTTTGAATTAGCTCAATAGGACGAAGGAATGTAAGGAAGCAATCTAACCAAAATTCGAACCCAGGACTTAAAATTGGAAAACAGATCTTACAGTTATTATATTGTCGCGTAGTGAAGAGTATGTGTATTACACCAAAATTAAAAAAAAAGGTACATCTGAAGCATGCTTTATATATCCTAAGACAGCTGTCAACACATGACAATTAACAGATAAGACAATCATAAATTGCCATGTGTAAGAGAGGAACAAAACATTTTCCAGAAAGGAATTGAAATTACTAGAAAAGTTTCTTATTTTCGAATACTAGAATGTTCTTTGTTTATGTATATAAAAAGGCCTGTAGTGTGTCAAGAGATCAGTTTTTCGGAGCTAATCGTGCGTCTACACGATACAGACTTGGTACAAACTTTTGTCGTACAGACTGAAAATTCTGAGTGAAAAAGTTCACGCAAATATGTCGACAAAATGTTAGTGCAGACTTTAAGCAAACGAAAATTTAAAAAATTATAACTTCTTACGTGCGTACATATCGTAAATACGCACACTTTTTTATTTTTGAAAATTGACGACACGTTTGGCGACCCCACTTGTGGTGCCAGCGATCGCGGATGCGAGTCCGCTGGAGGCTATGAATACATTACCCGAGACAAAAATTAATAATAATAAATAAATATAAATATGTTTGGACATTAAGACACAGCACCGTCTTGTTCCATGGTAAGCTACGAAACTTGTGTTATAGATACCAGATAGTTGATACACTACACAATTATAACTGTAAATACATGCATATTATAAACACATATGACTAGAGTACAAACTTTCGTGCTCATCACACAAATGAATGCCCCCAGCGGGACTCGAACCCACGATCACTGGCACAGCAATTATGGTCACTACAAACTGAGCCTGAAAACTGAAATTTTTGAATGAACAATAATGTGTATATGCACTTATATTAGAATATAAAAGAGTAAAAGCATAAAAAAATATACTAACCGTTCGGAAGTTGAAAGAAATTATGACTTGTTCATCAAACGATATCCGAATCAAACTGTTATTAGGGATTATTCTATTTATGTACACGTAATATCTGTTTTTCTCTCTTGCTGGGAGGCTGGGATCGTACCAGAGCATTACATCTGGCACACCACAGGGATATGCTGTTAAAAGCGGGCTATTCCGAAAATCATGACTGGCAGCGTTTCTTATAAAAGTTAATGCAAATAATAAAATAGTTATTACTTCCATCATGTAAGAATTATAAGTTAATTTTAATAATTTTGGTAAGACTCTCTACTCTAACTCTACAGTTAAATGAAGACTAACATAAAGTATAAGTTTAAATATAGGTACTGACTAATGAACAGGGGTTAAGGCTCGTAAACCACCAAGCTTAAAGCTATATGTAATTATAAATTTCTTACTGCTTTGTCTCTCTCTCTCTCTGCCTCTTTTTATCTCCGGCTCTCATTTTAACCGCTAAGTAAAGTTACATAAAAGCTTACAAACGTATTAATATTACCAATACCATCTGTTAAGACAGTCTACGAAACATTTACGCTTTTACAATAATTTGAAACGTATAATTTCTATTTGCATTTAAGGATTTTATTTAATACTAGTGACTCACTCTCTAGTCGCTAGAATAGATAGACTATACATTATATATACATAGATATGATGAGTTGTTGCGGGTTGTATTATAACGTGTTTTCTCGTGGGAATAAGGTAATCTTTCGCAATAAAAAGTAGCCTATATCACTGTCCTGTCCACATAGCTCTGTTCAATGAATCTGCAATAGAACTAGAAAACATGCTACAGAGCCTGAACATCCAAAGCCAAAAAATAGGTCTAAAAATGAATGCATCAAAAACAAAAATAATGACAAACAGCTCTAGAAAACTAACCACAATAGGAGGAAAATCAATAGAATATGTGAATGACTATGTATATTTAGGAAATCAAGTCTCCTTTGAAGCAAACAGTAATGAAAAAGAAATAGATAGAAGAATAAACATAGCATGGAAAAAATTTTGGGCTCAAAAAGAAATTCTTAAATGAAACTACAGCCCAAAGATGAAAAAAGTAATAATGGACTCGTGCATCCTCCCAAGTCTTACCTATGCAAGCCAAACATGGGTATATACAGAAAGAGTAAAAAATAAAATGATGTCCTGCCAACATGCAATGGAGAGAAGTATCCTAAAATTGAGGAGAATACAAAAAAACAAGAAATACACACACCCGCAAGAAAACCAATGTAACTGATGCACTCCATCATAGTCTAAGGCTAAAATGGAAATGGGCAGGACACATAGCCAGATATCAGGACAAAAGATGGACACATCAAATAACAAAGTGAAAAGGTCCAATAGGCAAGACGAACGTAGGTCGACAAAGAAAAAGATGGCAGGATGATATCAAAAACATAGCAGGAGATAAATGGATGAAAGTTGCCAATAACCGTGAAGAATGGAGCAAGTTGGAGGAGGCTTTTACCCAAGAGGGACTACACACCAACAACAAGTAAATTGTACTTAATTTCTTTTATTTTCATTTTCTAAATTTTTTTGTAAAATGTGTAGACAAATAAAGCTTTATTATTATTATTATCACTGTCCACCCCTCCAACTATCTACACACAAAAAATAATGTCAATCTGTCACTCTGTGTCGACGTGAAGGACAAACAAAGAAACAAACACACTTTCACGTTTATAATATTAGTATGGATTCCAATCGGAGCATTCTGCGATTTTGAATGTTATCAAAAATCTTTCAACGTTTTAAAGTAAATATTCATAAAATTTATATAGGTATTTGTTATATTAAAAACGATAAAAATGTTTATAAGTCGCGCTAATGAAAATATATTTCATGGAATATCAGTTTATCCTTATGGTTTTGCCTTTGTAAACAACGATAAGCTCAACGCGGTAAAACTGTATTATTCAATCCGATTATTAAAGTTACGTATTACTTCATAAATTAATTATATTACAAAATATCTAATTAGACTTAAAATTAAATGTGTATTCAGCTATTCTTTTCTAATATCCCACTGCTGGGCACGGGCCTCCCTTCAATACGTGGGGATTAGGCCATAGTCTCCGATACAGACCAAGTGCGGGCGGGCTTAACAAGTCTTTCAAATACTCACTGGGATCTCTTAGACATGTAGGTTTCCTCACGATGTTTCCTTTACCGTAAGACAAGTGATAATATTATTAGAAATGATTCGCACATGAAAGTATCAGAGGTGCGAATTGGAATTTGAATCTACTTCACTCGGTTTTCCAAGCGAGCGCATTACCACCCGTTTTTTTTATTTACAAGCTTTAGCTTTAGTGTGTTAATAAAAAAAATGGAAAGACTTTTTTAATTTAAATAGGTAAAGACAAAACAGTTCTGTATTATCCACATCCACACTAATATTATAAATGTGAAAGTGTGTTTGTTAGTTTTTTTGTTTGTCCTTCTTTTACGTCAAAACGGAGTGACGGATTGGCGTTATTTTTATGTGGAGATAGTTGGAGGGCTGGAAAGTGACGTAGGCTACTTTTGTACGACAAAATTCCCACGGGAAAACACGTTATAATATAATCCAAAAAATATTTTTAGTATCAGAATTACTTGAAGCTTGGTATATATGCTTTTCAACAAAATTAAATAAATATGTGTTTTAGCATTTTACAAAATTCATCATCATTCATAAGGTGGTAAAATAGGGAATGAAAGTTTGTCTGAAACTACCTTTTTAGAGATTTTTTTGTAGTTTTAGCGCGAGCGAAGCCGCAGGTTCTGCTAGTTATTTAATATTTTCAATAATGACTATGGGAAAATTTCGGCCGATTTTTGAACATTAGACAAACAATTTTTAAATTTCTCTTCGTACAGTCTAAATCCTCAGATTAAACAACTTCTTATCAGTTGTCAGAGCTACGTACCAGATAGTATGTACCAGTGAAAAATATAAAAAAAAAGACAACAGTCGAAGTAATATAGAACAATAAAGAATCTGGGTCAAAGGGAATCTAATATAAGGGGAGCATTCCGGAACAATTTTTTTCTTTTGCCTCTGATAAAACGGATGGGTGTTAAAAGACAAACGCGTTTCACCGACTTTAAAAATCATGGTTTTTTACTATACGGTTTTATATAAGCTTCCTTATTTGGCTATTGGCTAGCGTGTACTCTTATCAAGAGGTGCGGGTTCGAGTCCGAAGCAAGGTAAAAGATATTTACTGGATTGGACTTGATGAATAGTATCAAAAATATAAATTTTCTATGTCAATCCATAAAATATGCCGTGTCCTATGTTATTTGTATTGATTGATGTGTTGAAGAGTCAAAAGTTACTAATTCTATAGATTAATTAAAATAAACGTACAAACAAACTTTTTTTTATTTATTATTGCTAAACATTTATATATTTATAATATTATTAGCGACTCGCTTCAGGTCATAGTCTATTTATATACTAAGTCTCATCCAAATCGGTCCAGCCGTTTTAGCGTGAAATGTTACAAATATACATACATATAAACTTTCGTTTATAGTAGTAGTCTGATTATTAGTATTAATAAAAAGAAATGATCAAGTTATATACGTAGGATCTATATTTTTCCGCAGTACAAGTAGAAAATAAAGCAATTTTACAAATGGAAAATTCGAGTGTAAAACTATAACACTGCATGAAATGAGCTGTAAATGTTGTTTATTGAACCGTGAAGGTTTATAGTTAAGCATTAAGAGGTTATGTTCCTGAAATATAACTGGAATAACTATAGATTCATTTAATAATAAGGTTTTATACCTAGGTGAATATGTGTACATCTGTTTGTTTCTTATGTCATGCTGAGCTTTTTGTTTAGTATAGATAGCTTAAATTTTAGACAAATGTTTTAAAGTTATTTCTAAACATGTTTTCAAATCGTTTTTATTATGCACTAGCGGCTTCCCTTCGCTTCGCTGTGGTTCGTCATTAGATACGTTGTTAGTATGGAATAGATAAACTATATGTTATATTACTGCTTCGATCCCTTGGATAGTAGAATCATGGTATATAGCCTTCTTCAATAAACGGGATACCTAATGAAAAAGAATTTTTCAAATCGGATGAGTAGTTCCTGAGATTAAGGCGTTCAAAGAAACAAACAAACAAACAAATTTTGGATTCTGTGGCAGTTACTTGAATGGAAAACTGAATAACAGCCTGTTTGAATGTTTTAAATTTATTATTTAATATACAAATCCTGTGTTATAGTCCTGTGTTTCTAGAGTAGAGAAGAGATAAAGTCATAAAAACATTGAAATAATTTGAATTCGAACGTGCATCGAGTGTCAAGCACTTTTCGTGTGAACATCTTGCTCTGGATCCGATGGCGTCTTGAAACCTGCTTTTACGAGAAGACTAATCTTCACGAAATCCATGAAAAAGCAATAAAACTAAAACACTCGTGTTTTACTTAATTCAATTGTTTTGTTTAGTGGCTTCTAGGTGTGTCGTGTTGGCACAATTGAATTCGCCAATATCGGAAGGAGCAGAGAAGATACTATATCTATAGTAATGACTGTTAAAAAGGAAGTAAAACCCATATTTTATTGTGTGATTTATATCAATAGACCGCTTGATATAAAATAATTATAAATAAATAAATATTTTGGTACATTAACACACAGCACCATTAATTCCATGGTAAGCTACGAGGCTTGCGTTATGGATACCAGATAGTTGATGCACTACACATATAAACTTTAAGTACGAGTACATACCTGTTACTTTTTGACGTTTAATATAGATTTTCAGAGGTGACATATTTTCTTTTTCATTTGCGTGCGCTTTTTAAATTGAGTTACGTGTAACCTATTTTAGCTGACGCTAAAACTGTTTTATTTATTCTTTATCAATTTACATGAACTACGACATCTATTGATAAGTTCAAAAGTAAAATATTGTTAAAAATAACGCTAAAGTTAAACTATCAACGGTTAGTTAGCTAAAAAAATTTGGCTTCGAAATTAGTGTAACAAGAAAAAATATTTTTCTAGAACATCAGCTATCTGCCAGGGAAAGTCCTATTAAAATTGGCCCAACCATTTCCAAGATAACCCAGAACTAACAGAGAGATAGATAAAATTTTCAAATATTGTTTTTTTCTTATAAGTACCGTATATATACAAATATATATATGCATATGCATTGCAAAAAGACACTTCAATTTTATTTATTTGTATAGATTACGTTAAAT